GAGGCGGAATGGGGTACAGGCTACTGGCTCCCCAGAGGGGCAGCGCCTCCCACAGGAACCTGGGCCTGGTACCGATAGATCTACCAGCTTTTCAAGAAAAGCCATAAATCCAGATGTTTCTGTGAAGTTCCTCAATTTTTAAATGTTGGCAGCTCATCCAAACACACTGTCAACACTGCAGGGCCAAAGGAAACAAAGATCCAGTTCCGATCTGACCGAGGGCCAGCTGTGCGCAGCCTCTGACACGAGGGTCAGGTGACAGCAAGTACCATGTGATGGCGAGGCAGGTATCATCCTCAGGCCCCTGCCAGGGAAACTGAGGCCCAGCGAGGTCAAACCCCTACTCAAGGCCACAGAGCAGGCAAGTGGTGACGCGGGGACTGGTACCCAAACTGTCTAGCCCCAAAGCCTGTGGTCACGAGAACAGTGATCAGCCACCCCCATCACCCAGACAAAAAACAAAACAAAGCCCTCATTTCACACGTGAGAAAGAAAGGGCCAGAGAGGGGGGAGTGTGACTTACCCACAGCCGCCCAGCACGCTGGCATCAGAGCCTACAGTCCAGCCTGGGGCGTGTGACCCTCCTCACGAGGCCAGAGGGAGGAGCCCAGGGAGCCTGAATGAATGGGGGTGGGTGCGGCGGGCAGGCAGCACAATGCAGGTGACAGCCAGGCTCTGGAGCCTCCTGCCTGGTGCAGATCCCAGCTTTGCCACTTACTAGCTGTGTGACCTTGGGCAAGTCACTTAACCTCTCTGTGCCTCGGTTTCCTCATCTGGAAAATGGGGGTAACCATGGCGCCCACCTCATAGGGCTATTAGGGGGTGAAAGAAGTAACACTTGTCAAGGGCTTAGAGCAACACCTTCCAAAGTCCCAATCTTTGCCCGTCAGATGCTCCCATGTGAAGCCTAGATAATATAACATTACACCCCACCACTATACAAAGTATACATGTCATGGAATTCAACTTGGACCCCCAACCCTAAATCTATTAAAATTTAAAAAATAGAAATTAAAAATTTTTAAATGCCAAAAAATATATATTATACCCACATACTCCCAAGCACTAGAAACCTCCTGGTTGGGGACCTCACATGGGTCCTCACGCTGGTGAAAATGTAGCAGCGTAATTTAGGGGACTAGGCAGAAGAACGGGGTTCTCTGCAGAAAAGAAGGGGGGAAAGAGAGGGACTGGGAGGCTAGTGGGGGGCTTCTCCCATGCTCACATGAGGAGGGGGAGCACGTGGAAGGGGCACCTCACTAGAAGGGGAGGGGTCCCCTGTCGGCCCCCCACCTCAGCCTTGGGAAAGAACCGGATCCCAAGAGCAACAGCAATAACCACCACCAAAGTGCGTGCCACAAACATGAGCGCCTGCCACGTGCCGGCGTTCTGAGCACCAGGGAACCAGCAGCGAGCAACGCAGATGAAACATCAGCACAATTCACAAAACAAGGAACACCGAGGGAAGGTCGATGGCAGGAAGCGCTTGAATAAAAGTTAAGCAGGAAACGTGGGAGCATCAATCTTGAATCAGGTGGTTGGAGAGAGCTGAGCACAGGCTTGAAGTTGTAGGAAATGCTCCTGGGCACGTCTGCAGGAAGAGCATTCCAGGCACAGGGAACAGCCTATACAAAGGCCCTGAGGCCAGAGTGTGCCCAGGGTGTTCACTGACTCCTCGTACCTGGGGCAGGTGCTAGCTGCTCTGATCCCCGTCTACCAGGTAGCCAAGGGAGGCTCTGTCCCGAAGCCACACTGCTAGTTAGAGGTGGAGCCCAGCTCTGAACTCCTACCTGTTCTGCAGGAGAGAGCGGTTCTCAAGTCCATTGGAAACGTGCTCCTCCTCCAAAGTCTCTGGACTGTGGGTGGGGCCGCCACTGTGTGGGGCACGCTGGCTCCCAGCCTGGATCCCACATGCGTCTTCTGGCTTCACCCAGACACCTGGCCCTGTGACTGGCCTCTCCCTTCTTCTCTCTCCAATCCCACCTCCTTCCTGGCAGCCTTACAACCCGCCCCCCCACAAGACCCTGCTGCCCACTCCCCAGTCTTCCCAAGCCACCCATCTTCTCAGGCTCGATCGGGTGCAGAATGAAGTCCGACACATGGGCCCAATGCCCGCGAATGTCACCTGCGCTTCCAGCTGGCACAAGCCCCCACCTGCCCCACCATCGCTCCCACCCCAGACCCGCATTCTTCCCTCCTCCAGGCCTGTCCTCTGCTCCCCCCACCCCCACCCCCAGAAGGCCTGCATGGGTTCCCACCCCAACCTTCCTGTGCATCTAAACCAGAAGAGAAACCCAATTCGCGTGGAGGGCTTGGGGTGAGTCTGTGGCGAGGCCACGCTCCCCTTTCTGTGCCGAAGGACGCGGATGCTCCTTCTTGGAGGAAGGAGAAAAGGTCCCTCTGTGCCGGGCCTGGTGAAAGTGCGTCTGTTTAGGGCAGGCTGCGGTTTCCTTTGTGAACGCTGGAGATCTTTAGCGTGGGAAAAAGGGCTCATTAGATTTCCCTGTAGCTGCCCAGAGTGGGGAGAGGTTTTTCCGAGCACAGGAAGAAATCACCAAACAGGCAAACAGGCGTTTGAGAAGGAAGGAACAGTTAGCAGCCGCTTCTCACCGAGAGGTTAGGATTTGCTGGTCGGCGTTTTCATTCGGGTATATGGAAAACACAGAGAAGGGAAGGAAGCTTTCCCTGTACTCTCACGGGGAGGGAGGGAAGGAAGTCAGTTCATCCTTGATGTCTGGGGGTGGGAGGCAGGATTTTGTTCAGAGGACTGTTGGGGTGTTTTTTCCCTCTTCACGTCAAAAAAAAAAATACAATGGTCACAGAACCCACAAAAAGGGTTGTCATGGCAACGAAAGTTTGTGGCCAGGTACTTGCTAACATCCTTTCCGAACCGCAGCGTTGTGGGAAGCAGGATCTGGGCCCTGTGGGATCAGCCCCGGAAACCACCCCAGCCGGCTCCAATCTTCCAAATTTCTCACCGGCACTGACAAGCCGATAACTATTTTCCAAGCTCCCAGAGAGGAAAACCGTGATTTTCTGAGAAGGATGATCTCTAGCCAACAGCGGCCAAGAGAAAATTGTGGGTTTGTTTTATTTATTTACCCAACAAATTAACCATCTGTGTTTTTAACTACCAGAGGACTGGGAGTGAAGGTCTCAGCTGGGGCCCCAAAACGTCTCCTTCTTTGACCTCCCCCACCTGGGCCTTTCTCTCCCCAGTCACTTTACTGGGATTCTTTTCTGTCCCTGGGAAGACAATTCAGGCTCCCTTGTCAGGAACCTCTCTGAGCCTCCAATTCTTCATCTGATAAAGTGACCCGACCGCCCCCCAGAAGTGTCTACCTCAAAGGTGGTGGCCAGGATTTTTTAACAGGGCCTGGTGCATGTCAAGGGCTCCGTAAATGTTAGCTGACATTGTTTTTCAATATTTTTCAATTAATAATTTTTTTAATTACTCAGGCCTAAACATCCCAAATCAAGCCCTGGATGAGCTACAAGGAAATAACTGCAAGCGTTGGGGTGGTGACCTTCAGGCTGGGAGAGACCTCAAACACTAAAGGGGCTCAGCTGACCAGCCTGGGCCAGGACACTCCACGGAGGTGGGGACAGCGCCGGTGCCAGACGTGGCATTGTATTTCCAAGTGAGGGACCTTGGAGGCTGAGCTTCTACACAAAGGAGAAACTTGGCGAGAGGCAGAGGTGTTAAGTCCTAAACCTTGGAAACATCTTGAACTTGGAGAAAGATACGCAGGGCATCTCTGCCTCGAAGGATGCAGATGTTTCCGAGGACAAGGCCTCTGTATGGGAGGGCAGGGCTGGGCTGCATGAAAGGTAGGGACTTTTAGCCCAGATGCCTTTTGAAGTTAATTTGTTTTATTACATCCCACAGTAAAAATCCAAGTCCTGAGTGTACACCAGAAGTGAGTCTGATGGGGACGGGATCTACTCAAACACCACGTATCTTTCTCGCCAGCACTGCTAAGTGGAGTTGCAGCAAAGTTCTGTTGGACACCCCCAGAATCGAGCCAGAGCCAGTAGCACCCCAGGAAGCCTCCTGCGGTCCATCGTCCCAAGACCTCATCCAACATGTATCCTGCAAATACTTATTGCAAACCTACTATGCACTAGACACTACCCAGAGGCAGGGTGGTGCAGCAGTGAATGAGACCAACCCCGCCTGGCCCTCGCAGAGTGACATCGTATGGGGAGAGAGTGGTGACAAGCTCGAGATGAGAGACAGGTCCCAGAAAATGTCAGGTTCTGCCAAGCACGGCAGGGAGATAAAGGCAGGGGTGAGATGCAAAGACCACAAGACCCTGCCTCCAAAGCGGGGGTCCCGAGGTCTTCTCTCCAGAGGATCGTGCCTCGGAAGGCAAGAAGGAGAGTCCCACCAAAGCTACTAGGGAGCCAGCCAGGGAAGGTAGGGGGGCTGGAAGGGCACCCCAGGCAGGGGGGCAGCTAGTGCAAAGGCCTAGAGCTCCTCACTGGGTTGACACCCTCACCCCTCTGTCCTTGAAGCCACTTAGGCCAATGGCTTATTCAGGGCAAACTATGAGTTGGCGCCCACTCCCATCTACCCTGGAGGACACACACATGCCCCGTCCACAGGGAAGAGCTATACATGCCTGGGGGTGTTTAACCTTGGGGAAAGAGGTCACTTCACTCAGGGGGTCCCCACACCTGCCTGTGGAGCAACACCCCTTTAAAGGCACCAGGTCTTGTGGGCCAGCACCACCCTCAGTCCCCTGAGCCCTGCCATTGCCTAGCTGTCTGCCTTGGGACACTCACTCCAGCCCCTGCTGCCTCCGAGGGCAGGGAAAGGGCTACAGGCAAGGGGGCAATTTGATCGGCCTTGTGAAAAGTCAGCCCCCCATTCTGATCGCAGCCCTGGGCTAAGCGAAGCCCCTCGGACTCCACGACCTGGAGTTCGCCGAGCTGTCCAGGCTTTCCCGCCTGCCTCCTTTCTCTCCAGTCGCGTCCTCTCCCGGGAGGGGGCGAGGTCACCGAGGGCTCCCTGGCTTCTGCAAACAGGGGTGCCACTGGGCGGGTCCGGCTTCCCGGGGACCCACGGGACTCCCCCGACTCCCCACTCCCGTCTGCGAGGTCCGGTGCGGTCGAAGGTGGGAGTAGAAGAATGGCCCGCTTGGCTCCTGGCTCTGAGAATCTGCGGTGGGAGGGGCGGCTTGTAGCAGGAGGCCCTGCACCACCGCCACCCCCGGAGGTGCCCTGGGGTGGGTGGGGGTACCCGGTGCCCCGGGAGAGGAAGAGGAGGAGGGGGCACGCATGGAGATGCGTTCAGGCGCGGAGAGGGACGCGCGCCCCTCCGACCGGCAGCTGGGGTGGGTGCCCGGGACACGCACCTTCCCGGGGCGCGGCAACGTCCCCAAAGCAGCCGCGGGCGTTCACCGGGGGCCGGAGCTCTGCCTCGAACCTTCCAGCGCGGGGCGTCCCGGACGCCCAACGTTCCGGCCCCCGGACCTTGCCCACGGCGTCCTCCTTCCCCGAACGTCCCCCCAGCCCCGCCGAGCGCGGGGATCGGTGTCGTGGCGGCGGCGCGGGGCCCCTCGCCCTGCGGGAGGAGGGAGCGCGGGTCTGGGGCTCGGGCCGCCGGGGCCGCGCAGCCCGGGGGAGCCGGAGCCGAGCCCGCGCCGCCGCCGCTCACTCACCGAGCCCGCCGAGCTCCTCCTCGCACGAGTACCAGATGCCGGTGTGGAAATTCCTGAAGAGGAAGCGGTCGTCGCCGGTCTCCCAGCTGTAGAGCGCGCCGCCAGGGGGGCCGTTCCCCGCGGCGGCGGCGGCGGCGGGGGCGGCGGTGCCGTTGGCCGTGGCGTTGGCGCCCGAGTTGGGGCAGTTGGCGCGCCCGCCCTGGCCACAGCCGGGCTTGGGCACCCGCTGCGTGCCCTGGCACCAGTGTGTGGTGAGGAAGGCGGTGGTGGCGAAGAGCAGCGCCAGCAGGTTCAGGGCCACGGCCAGGAGCGCTCGGCCGCGGCGGCTCGTCTTCATGCCGCCCGCGCCGCCGGGACCGCACCGCCGGGCAGCTCCGCGCGCGAAGTTGGCAGCCGGCGCCCCGCGTCAGCGGCCGCTGCCTGCCGCGCCCCGGGG